CTTCCTGTCAAGGATTCCCTCATAGTGTGTTACTACAGATCTATTTAGAATGAATAAATAGCTGATGTCACATTATATTAGACACATAAAACATGACCGGTACAGTTTCAAGATTCCCTAAAACCACCGTTTTCCTTGATCTACAATCCATCTCAACGGCTCCAATTGGACCCAGAACAGCCTCAGTGTGCACAAATTTGTAGCACCTGTACAGACGTATAAAAGTTTGAAATATTTTGATTTTTGTGTATTTTGGGTCACTTCTAGGTTTCAAATGATTGAATGAATGAAAACTGAATTCTCTCAGCATGAACGGGAAGGTGGAAATAAATCAGGCGGGATTGAAGTTTGCTGTGGTTCAGGGTTAGCAGTGGTGTGTCAAAAACAAAATTATATGCAGTGTAGCACACAGGGAGATGTGTTGAGCACCCATTTCAGACCATCCATCCATCCATCCATTATCTATACACCGCCTAGTCCTCACCAGGGTCATGGGGGGCTGGAGTCTATCCCAGCTGACTTAGGGTGAAGGTAGGGGACACCTGGACAGGTCACCAGTCTATCACAGGGCTACACTTAGAGACAGACAACCAAGCACACTCACATTCACATCTACGGACAATTTAGAATCACCAGTTAACCTCAACATGTTTTTGGACCTTGTGGGAGGAAGCCAGAGAACCCACGGGGAGAACATGCAAAGATCCCGGTGCCCTCATCGGGACATGAACCAGCAACCTTCTTGCTGCGAGGCAACAGTGCTACCAACTGCGGCACCTTGCAGCCCCATTCCAGACCAAAACAACAATAATAATTAGAAGAATAAAGAATAAAAACACACAAGACATTAATATATATATTAATATAGATAGATAGATAGATAGATAGATAGATAGACAGACCCGATTTGACTCGAAAAAGGATGTAAGGGTTAAATCACGAGCACTATGAAGGGATATGTAAACCTATTCAAAGCACCGCGTTCCTTTCGAATCCCTTTGCTTTTGTCTGACTGCCACTTTGTGCCTCAACTTGTTCATGTTTTCACAGTGATACAGTGAGATGCCTACACAGGCCTGACGTATTTTCATTGCTCCTCCGGTGAACTTCTTTTATCTCGATCCGTTGCCTCCCTCGCTGACACTTCTCTCTCTCCTTTATCGTTCTGTTTCAGAAACCACAGTCCCTTGATGAGTTTCGGGGCCAGTTTTGTGAGTTTTCTGGTAAGTAGAGAAGTCACATGCCATTACAGGAAGCTGCTGGTTCACTGTGTGGTCCAAGGGCTCACAAAAATACTGTAAAAGTGACTATAGAACGCAAGGAGCTTCATTATGAAAGTGAAGGAATTTCCCTTGTGTTTCTTCAAGGAGCCAAGCCGGCATTGTTTTTCCTTCTTCTGGCATTTAAACAGACGTGTGACTGATGAACATTGCATTGAGGAGTGCAGTGATATGGTCTTTTTTTTTTTTTTTTTCCTAATCCAATTTTCACACATATTTGTTTCGGCTATGACATTACATAACATTCCTCTGGCTGTCGCTTTTGTCCAAAGAAACCACAAGTGGTGCTTTGGAACTCAGTAGAGACAAGAGTTGGAAGTGAAGTGGGATTTTTCTTGGAAGGAAATTAAATTATTAGTCATTTATTTTTGGTTAGTGTTCGACCTACGTAATCGTTTCAAAACAAATTTAACCAGCGTACCCTGTTGGATCGCTTTATCAGACACGCTCTTTACAATTTAGCGTGATCCAGTGCAGAGATAATAGAGTACAGTTTTGACTCGCACTGTCAGGGAGAGCTCCAGCTTTTTGTTCTGTTTTGTCAGTATGATGTTGGTGATTACGCAACGTAGTGGTCGTAGAACATTCACACCTTTGGCGCTTAGATTGGTACCTATAATCTGTCTGTCCTCCAGCTGGTGTAATGAAGGCTGACTGTACAACAGCACCGCCCGCTATGACCTCAGTAACAATCATGAAGTAGAATTATTACCTTTCCAACAGTGACAACAACAAGCTTTGTGAATTCAGGGCAGAGCCGCCGCATTAGATCACATTACAGCGAAGAGGTCAGACGCACAGAACAGAGTGGACAGTGATTGTAGTTGAACCTGACAGCATATTTAACTGTGCTGACTGCATGATGAGGTCTTCATTAGAGGGGGAAGTATATTGATTTTTGAATATACTATATAAAGATATTGGCAAGAGTGGAGCCCGAGTTGCAACAGAGAGAGTAAACGTGGGGACAAACAGGAGGGAAATCGAAGGCGTCCGTTTATGAGTCTGAAACTTGTGTTACTCTGAAAACCGCTGTGACCCCTGTGAGGCTGACCCTTCAAAAGGAGCACCTAAAGAATGATGTGCAGTTAAAGGACGCATCGTTGTAACCTCACACAGTTCTGCTTTCTATTTCTGTAGTTCTTTAATCGGATTTGGGGAAAAATGAGAGCGAAACACCCAAACAAGCTAACCTGCCTGACTCAAAGTTCACAGCGTGTGCAAACAGAGAGTAAAAATAAAGTATGTGATGGTCGTCAAGCTAACGGGGGGATCTTTGACCTTGTTTCGATGTTTAATTTGTCAGATTGACAGCTTTAGTCTGGTGAAAGGTTGGAACCAGGAGTGTGCCACCGGGATAATTATAGACTTTACTGCGTGTAATTATGCTCCGTTAAGTGAACGATCACAAACGCTATTAGAACTTTAATGATTAAATTTGGAAATGATGTATTGCGAAACTCAAAGTAGACACAAAATAAATAAAGAAATGGCATGGCATTTTCCATTTAATGGTTTTACTTCCCTACTATGTACTGAAAAGTAATCTAATTTTAAAATTAGAATCACAAAACAAGTTTAAAGTTTTTGTTATTTTACTGACTAATATGTCGGCCTATCATACACTCACCCGCTATGTAATGTAGTCGGATATAAAGATAAATCTCAAACCTTAATGAAGGGCAGTGTGTAGTTTTTGAAACTGCATGATTCAGCAGCATGATCGTTTTTAGAAGATGTAGTTTGTGGTTTTGTTGAACTGTTTTGAATAATTTTTTCTCCAACTCCTGTTGATATCGAGTGGACACATAGATAAATGGAGCTAATTTACTGGCAACTGACTGCCTTCTGTCACACATTTGTTTCCTGTTTTTGCATTTCATTCATTTCTTTTTGGGGTTCTGCTGGTTTTTGCTTGTTCACTGAGCATTACAAGCAGATTCTAAACCTTTAGAAAGAAACTGGACGATTCCTTATAGCTATGTTTTTTTGTATGACACATAAGACTTTGATTTTCTTTTGCTGCGTTCCACTTTTAATCCAAAATGTAATCTAGGATTTGGCTCATCCGCATTCAGTTCAGAGAAGTGTGCATGTAAATAATGGAACGCTTTCTTCCTCGTAGAACGCAATGATGACCTTTGAAGAGGAGAAAATGCAGATGGCGTTCGAGGACCTCAAGGCTACAGAGAGACTGTGCGAGAGCGAAAACACTGGTGTCATTGAAACCATTAAAAACAAGATCAAGCGGAGTGTGAGTAACCTCTTTGTAACACTTGATTTAGTGGAATTCATACGATATATATAGAACAAATGCAATTTGCCCGAAAACACAAATTTTTTAGTTGGACTGTGATGTCCAGGTTGGCTTCCAAAGCTTCCCAGCCTGCCTGTTTGTCGTCAGTCTAAATGTGGATTGTGTTTGCGTGGGCAGATGGACTCTCAGAGGTCGGGGGTGGCTGCAGTGGACCGACTCCAGAGGCAGATCATCGTTGCAGACTGCCAGGTTTATCTTGCAGTTCTGTCTTTCATCAAACAAGAGCTGTCATGTAAGGGAACCTTTAGCATGTGTCGGTCCACTGTGAAAACTGAATATTTGTTCTTTTAAGTACGAGCCAGCTTCACTGACCTCGGCTTCAAATCCCCAACAGCATATATCAAAGGAGGCTGGATCCTCCGTAAAGCCTGGAAGATGTACAACAAATGCTACAGCGATATCACACAACTACAAGAGGGCAGCAGAAGGAGGGCCTCCGAACAGCAACCGATGCCGTCTCCATCTCCGTCCTGCGCCTCGGACCACAGTCGCTCCTCCTCACCAGGGCCGAGTCCGTCCCAGAGGCCGGACGGCATCAGTCCCGAGGCTCTGGATCGGCTGAAAGGGTCAGTCAGCTTTGGTTACGGCCTCTTCCACCTCTGTATCTCCATGGTGCCGCCGCACCTACTGAAGATCGTCAACCTGCTGGGCTTCCCCGGAGATCGTCACCAAGGCCTGTCGGCGCTCACATACGCCAGTGAAAGTAAGGACATGAAGGCCCCTTTAGCTACGTGAGTACGTGAGTGAGTATGTTTGTGTATCTGTGTTGTGGTTGTCATGAATGTAAGAAAGAAAAAAAAGCAGAATTTGTAGAGAAAAGAAGAAGCAGGAGGTATATAAAATCCTCTCGGGTCCCTCTGTGAACCACTGTAATAACAGACTTCTTGCAGCATATTTTTTGCCAATCCTGCCTTCATAATGAATCATTTTTATTCCTGGAACACCTCAGCAATACTTAACTCCTTTATTAAAATCAAGGGTGTGGAAATTCTCTGTCTGTTCTCTGCTGCACTTTCACACTGAGCGTTGAACTGTCAGACACTATTAATCTCACTTTGTCAAACAGTTACCTAAAAAGCATCACACACTAGCTGTGATTTTGCATGTGATGGTGTCATAAACTGGAAAATCACTGTGTATTGCCGCTTATCTCCGTCTCTGTGCTTCCCTCACAGCTTGGCCCTCTTGTGGTACCACACTGTAGTGCAGCCCTTCTTTGCTCTGGACGGCACAGACACACAGGCAGGCCTGATCGAAGCCAAATCAATTCTTCAACAAAGGGAGTCTATCTATCCCAACTCCTCCCTCTTCATGTTTTTTAAAGGCAGAGTGCAGCGCCTTGAGGTAAGGACATGAGAAGAATGAGCCTCATTATCGGTTGCTATGTGAGCTATTCTCCTGACTAGGGAAACCTTAATGTTGTCTCACTGTAACTCACACCACAAAGTTCCCCTTTCTAGTGCGAGATCAGTAGTGCCTTGACGTCCTTCAGCGATGCCTTAGAGCTGGCTTCTGACCAGAGGGAGATCCAGCACGTGTGTTTATATGAAATAGGTACTATCTTCGCTCTCACATTCTCAGACCGCCGTGCTCGGCACTAGTCCGCATCATAACTTCTGAATGTTTAACTCCTTAGGTTGGTGCAGCATGATCGAGCTGAACTACGGAGAAGCCTACAGAGCGTTTGAGCGTCTGAAGACGGAGTCCCGCTGGTCCCAGTGCTATTACGCCTATTTGACAGGAGGTAAACGCAGTGCAGAAGAATGGGCGTTTTTGCGAGTCTGTTTTCACTCCTAATCCACATTATGTGTTGTGTAGCGTGCCAAGGAGCCACAGGTGACCTGGAGGGCGCTATTGCTTCTTTCAAGGATGTTCAAAGACTTTTCAAGCGCAAGAACAATCAGATCGAGGTGTTTTCAACAAAGAAGGTGAGTGTGCATTCAGATGATTCTCAGTTGAACGTTTTTGAGGGAAAATGCAGTTACAATGCACATATTCTTACCAGGCTGAGAAGCTCAGGAGCCCCAGTCTATCCAAAGAACTCTGCATCCTCTCGGTGATTGAGATTCTTTACCTGTGGAAAGCGCTGCCCAACTGCTGTACTGCCAAGCTGAAGACAATGACGCAAGGTACCACACTGTGAATCATCTCGTTTATATCACAGCTGACAGACTTGTTTGTAATCTTGTTTTATTTGCTGCTGCTCTGTTAGTTTTGCAGGGGATTGATGATGCTTCATGTGAAGGTCTGAAAAACCTGCTTCTTGGTGCCATAAACAAATGCCTCCATAATACCAAAGATGCCATCCAGGTAGTCTTATGTGCAGTTAATAAAACGGGTTTTTCATATTTATTCATGGTATTATACCCTGGGCTTAATTATGTGCAGTTAATCTGTGTACTTACGACACTAATATTGTGGTATTAATGGTGTTTTTCAGTGTGAAAACTGAATTTATTCTCTTTTATCAGTATTTCCATCTGGCTGCAAAGGACGAAGTGGGTCGTCTGAGCAACTCCTACGTGCAGCCCTACTCCTGCTATGAGCTGGGCTGTGTGCTGCTCAACTCCCCAGAGGTACGTTTTTATGTGTGTGATAAAGACAGACTGTCTCATGTGAGTTGGTGGAAAAGTCACAGTTTAAATAGTTTATTCTCTCTCTCTCTCTCTTTTTTTTTTCCCAGTCTGCAGGGAAGGGACGGACGCTAATGCTTCAGGCCAAGGTACAGTAGCCTTCTTTATTGCTTTGTGATTTATTAAGAGTTATACTTTTATAATCGCCTTCATTTGCTTAATGATGGTTGGTGGTGTGTTTGATGAGCTGAAGTCCTTTAACAAGCTCGGTTATTGGTTTTCTCCTGACAAAGCCCAGCGAAGATCTCTGAGATCAAAACGTCGCCTTATTAAATTCAGCGAGATCAATTAGCTGAGTGTTTGGATTTTTGTCTGATCTCCGCTGTCGGTCAAAGGTTTTGATCAAGGACTTGAGATGTGCTCGTTGCGCTTCATCACTCTCAGACAGATCAAGACGCTCGCTGCCTGATTTAGCGACGGCGTACCCAGTGATCTAACAGAAAGGTTGTTGCTCGGCTTGCCTTGAAGTTGCAGGAGGTTAGATGGTATCTGGAATAGCTGCAGCCAAGGCCACAGATTGGATTTAGGTGGTCTGAATAACTGCATCTATGGATAGAGAGATGCTTGTCTTTCCTGACTTAACCACCAGATAACGAGTTGCTGAACAAACAGAAGAACTCCATGAGAAAGGAATGTGTGTTGAGAGGGACGCTCACCTCTGGCATTCCTGTTCTCCTTGGAAACACTGTCTTTTGGCTGGTTGATGCTGTGCCAGGTCCCTGCCACTGCTGTCATGGGGCAACCCCTGAGTTTGGATTCTCTCTTGGGTGTCATTGTGTTGATGAAACAGGGGAGTTCTGGAGACCTCCTACTGCCTGCTTGGTTTATTTAAGGCGACTGTGTGACCCCACAGGATTTAGTCTGTGCTGCCTGCTCCAGAATATCAAGGTAGTCTCTGAACACCTTTTGTAAAAACATCCCGAGTTCCAAAGGGCTTCCTCACCTTGCGTCAACTCAAATCCAAAAAAAAGTGACACCTGCACTCTTTTGCGCACTAGAAACAGCCTCGCTAACTCGAACAGCGTCGGAGCCGTCCGGAGCAGCTGCCTCGGCCGGCTTTGTGAGCAGATTGGCAGCTGACATTGACAACGCGCAGAGCTCGCTCTCTTTGCTAACAGCCATCCCTGCATGACTGAGCAGATGCACCAGCGTCTGACAGAGAGAGCAGGAGGAGCCCACCGGTGGGACGTCTGCTTCTTTAATGGGTTTGCCGTTACCCGATTGGGCAGCAGGTGCATTGATCTGTCTGTGCCGACTGCGGAGCTCGCTGGAGGACGGAGCACAAACAAACAAACAAAAAAAAAAACACTCATTGCATTCACTGCTTTTGTCTTGTTTTGTGGACTGTGCAGGAGGACTATGCTGGCTATGACTTTGAGAACAGACTCCACGTTCGTATACATTCAGCTCTCGCCCCCACGAGAGCTGCAGCCCAGCCGTGAAGTTTGTTCCACGCCTCAGATGCAGCTGGAAGGAAAATGCACAAGACACACTAATCGTACACTGTTTTGGTTTTGATTGATTTTTTTGTATTTATTTTTCATATTTTGAGCCAATGCATCATTTAAAATATGAACAGAAATGTTTCATGGAAGAAAGAGGTTCTACTGAACAGTACAAATTTGGTCTTTGTTGTTTACATGGTTTGTTTTAAACCTGAGTACTTTAAAAATCTATAATGTCATTTTGAAAGGTATCGGGCATATTGCTTCTGCTGAGGGACAGATGTTCCTCAGATTCGGCTACGAGTCAGATCAGGTTGAGTAAAGGCACATAAAGTAGAATTGTCAGAGCAATTCAATTAATAACTGGGAATATATGTCTCAGAGAGGACAATATTCTTACCGCTCACTGCTGGTTGTTGACTTTGCTGTAAAGACTTTGCTAATCATAGGCATGGGTAATTTTTTTTTTTTTTTAGCAAAGCCCTTTTTTAAAGCAGAATTGTTTTTAACTTGCATACAAGTTTTAATAAATGCGCATACATTGTTCCACTTTTGAGTGGCCTAAATGCACAGTGCTGCTCTTTGCTGTAAGCTGGTTCTACTTTATATTTGTTATAAGATAATAAAAATGAATACTGTTAAAATGGAATACTGACTTGTTCTGTTTTAAGTAATGTATTTGAGTAAGGCAGGGATCTCCAACTCCGGTCCTTGTGAGCTGCTGTCCTGCAGATTTTAGATGTGTCTGTGCTGCAAAACACCTGACTCAGATTAACGTCTCATTAGCAGACTTGTGCAGAACTTGACAACGAGCTGTTGGAGATCCATTAATGTGAGTCAGGTGTAAGGTGACTGTGACGTATAGGCCACTTCAGCAACAAAACTTTTATTTTGAAATGATTTGTGGGTGTTGTAGTAGTAAGATCACCTGTGTATACTTTGCTTTGTACAGACCCTCACACATGCTTCAA